TGTGCCCAGTCTTTCCTTGCCCAGCACTGCGTTTGGGAAATATTTACATGGCAGCTTTCCAAGCTAGATAAGGTCTGTTGTCAGAGATATTCCTTTGAAAGACTGTTTGCCAGGCCTTTGCTGAATGTGAATGAGAGGAATTCACATTCGTTTAATAAAAAGGGGTTTGGGCGGGATCAGGAATCTGCTTTGTACTTTTTGGGGAAGCCTAGGTCAGAACACCCGCCAGTTGAAATTCTTTCGTAACATATTTTGCCCTGTTCTGAGAAAGTTGAGTTGAAGCAACAGAAGCAGCCAAGGTGACTGTCGTTTTGTGGGCTTGTTTTTGTAGGCTTCCATGAAGAGCCAGAGAGGAAATACTACTTTGAATGTGATACAGAAGAACAATGCCAGGAATGGATTGACGTCCTTCGCAAGGCCAGGTGAGCTTATCTCGTCACCTGAAGGTTGATAAATCTTATTTGTCTGTCTGTATCTATCTATCTATTTGGAGAGAGTACCAATTCAAGGCAAGCCTGAAGGCAGTGACAATATTATCTGATTTACTTTAATTTTTATTTGGCACCTGCAATAGGAACTACCGTATTTTTCAGAGTATAAGACACACCTTTTTCCCTCAAAAAAGAGGGTGAAAATCTGGGTGCATCTTATACACTAAATACAGCATTTTTGGCCTTCCGAAATCCTGCCCCCTTCACCAAAATGGCCATGCATAGCTTCTAGGAGGCTTCCAGAGAGCTCCTGGGGGCTGGGGAGGGCAGAAATGACCGAAAAACGTGCCATTTTTTGCTCAATTTTGCCCCCCCCCAGCTCCCAGGAGCACTCTATAAGCCTCCTAAAGGCTATTCATGCCCTTTTTTTGACGAAAAATGGGCCCGTTTTTGTGAAAAACAGCCCATTTTTTGCTTGCTTTTGGGACCCCCTACCCCCGCAGGAGCACTCTACAAGCCTCCTAAAGGCTATTCATGCCCTTTAAAAAAAAAAACTGGCCCCTTTTTGCAAAAAAACGGGCCGTTTTTGGGAGGTCTACAGAGTGCAGAAACTTTTTTTAAAAAATTTGCCTCTTCAAAATCTTGGTGCATCTTATACTCTGAAAAATGCGGTAAATAAACTATGTTGCCTTAAAAACATTCGCTGCCTACATTGGGGCTGCTTTGGAAAAACAAGGGAGAAAATAGGCTCATCTCTGCTGGGTGGCGTTTCTTTCTTAAGTGACTATCGGAGAACCAAATGGTCGATCTATATCCCATCCGTTGCATCCAAACAAACTTTGGGCCAGTTCTTTCAGTTCTCCTGTTCTCTTTTGATCTACAGTTACGAATTCATGAGAAGCAGCTTGATCTTTTATCGGAACGAGATCCAGAAGATGACGGGGAAGGTAAGCCAGTAGCCACAACTGACAGTTCTTTGCTCAGGTTATTTACAGGCCTTGGAGATGTAGACACCAACCAGATTCACACACTTGGCACCAAGTTCCACTATGGATTATTTTAACGTTGGGTCTGTTGTGTGAATATTTGTAAATCACAGTGCAGAACTGGGTGCTGGTGTATGGAACCCAGCCAATCATGGCTTAGCTAATAAAATTGGCTTATCTCCGTTGCAAGGATAAAGTCATGACTGTGGCTTGAAATAAGTTTGTGAGGCTGTTTGAATTGGCCAATAGGACAGCTTCATTTCTGAAGGCATTTGAGAACATTTACTAGCTAGAAGACAGCGATTGAAGGCCGGCAGGGAAGACGTGAATAGCTTTCTGCTCCTCTTCTCATGTGAGTTATAGATACAATTGTATACCGTGTTTCCCCAAAAATAAGACAGGGTCTTATTTGCTTTTGACCCCCGAAATAAGCGCTTGGCCTTATTTTGGGGGAGGTCTTATTATTTCTGAGGTGCAGAAAGCGGCGAGCGTGGTCACCTCAGGGCTGCTGCTGTGGCAGACAGCATTGTGTGTCTCCCAGACACAAAATGGATAGGCAGTCCTTGAATTAATCTAGATGTGAAATGTTTTTAAGTGGCAGCGCAACACAGCCGCTCGTCAGCTGGATGCTTTTCAATCAAAGTACCACTCAGCTGCAGGAGTAAATGGTGGTTGGTAAGGTGAGGCACGTCTCCGGGGCCTGCCGCTTTTTGCAGTGGCCATTAGCGTGACAGAAGGGACGTGGTGGCTAGGGTTGTGGGTGCTGCCGTTAGGTAAGGGCGTGTGGGGTGCATGGGGCATGTTCCCCACTCCCTTTCTCCCCCTCCGGCCTCGCCTTCTCACCTCGCGGCAAGCAACCAGAGGAAATGGCAAGGACTGGCTGCGCTTGCATCTAAATATTTTCTGGAAGGGCTTATTTTAGCGCATGC